AAAAAGACAAAAAGGAATATTTGGTGAGATTAATTCACAATAATAACGGAGGACGGACAGAGAAGCTGAGGAATTAAAGCATACAAAAGAATCACTACTTTGAGGATCAATAACCCCAGAGTTATAATAAGTTATAATAAGCATCGACTGAATAACATTTCCTCTGTGACTGGGCATCACAGACTTTACTTTCAAGTCCTGAGAATTCGGAGCAAAAAAGACTTGAAGATGTGCCTGCAAATCATGGTGGTGAACAAAGAAGTCACTTGTTCAGTATTGGACAGGATAGAAGGGCTCAGCTGGGGCAAGATGTACAACAAATTGATCTTAACCACATTTTTGCAAAGGAAGAAACACCTATCTTTAAAGACAATAAAAACAACCTTTTAGCAGAACTCCCCTATTCTTATTTTCTCTCTCTTTTAAAACTACCCTAAGTAGGGTAAGCAGATACTTCCAGGTTTCGGGTTGTTTTGGTTTTTGTTTGGTTTTTTTTTGGTGAAGATTAATGAAAGAAGCAAAAGGTCAGAAGGCAAACCAGTACTGACAATTTGGGTACCTGATTGCTTACATTGAGTGCTGTCCTATGCAGGCCCCAAGGCACTCAAAGAGAAGGCAACAGCTTCCAGAGCTGAGATGGTCAAACTTTGGATCACAGGTCTGTCACAGCTTTACAAACTGCCAGGAGAAGCAAGCTCCAGGCTTTAGAAACACAGCATTCATGGCAGGAACAGGGGGGGACTGGTGATGCTCAGTCAAGTTCAGGTTCAACATGGGTACACCACAATGAAAGGCCAGAATTCATTACACACCGAGGTGAAACAATTTTCCATACCAAAGGAAAACAGAGTTAAAGATAGGAAGGAGGGAATATATTAGCTAGACAGTTTGACTAACAGAAACTCCAGAGTTTTGATTTATGTGCTATACACTATAAATAATATTTTAGTTCACACGCTTTCCTACCTGCTCCTGCAAAAAGAGTTCTTGTATACATAGTCTCAATTTTACATGTCTTCCCACTCTCAGGCTTTACAGCAAGAGGCATTTGGAGCTTTGAAAGTAATCTAGCTATAGATAATGCAGCTGGTTAGCTACTAAGAAATTTGGTGAAGTTCTAGAAATGGAAAATAGAAATTAACATATGAAAAACCTTTAGAAAATTATTTGGGGCCTGTAGAAGCAGTGATATTAAAATAAGCTCCAACTCAATTAGAAATGAGCCAACTCTGCTTCATTTTCCTGGGGTAAGGTAATCTTATATTAATAGATCAAGAGATTAAAAGGTGACATCCTCTCTAAAAGGATGGTCTACTCCTGGAATTTCAGTTCCTACCTGGCCTTCCAGCTGTAGGTGCTTCAAGATGCCCATTAAGAGGAAAATGTGCCAGTTTTCCATGCATTAAGGTTTTGTCTTAGAAGGGAGACCACATCTTTTTGACATCATAACCTTAGATTACTCCCTTCATCTGTCATTTAGAACTCCAAAGTGATAAATGTTGCATTACAAGAAGAAATAAAATGTATCATAAATTTCTACTGCACTTCTTGCACTTCCTGTGTATTTTCTTGACTTGATAAAAGTCTCAGAGGTGCACTGCTAAAAGACAAAAGCGATGACTGTAAATAAGATCAAGGAATACTTGGTCCAAAGAGGGGGAAAATATTCCTGAAAGTGGTGCAGTATTGGAAGAGGTGGAGCTGTGTGATCTCCATCCCAGATTTCAAAATGCATGAGCAATTTGACCTGGCTTTCAAGCCAGCTCTGCTTTCTACAGAGAGGAGGTCTAAGGACAACCTATTAATTCTAAAATCATGTTGTTAAAACTTTGATTAATATTCAATAGCATGTAAAAATATGAAACCTGCTTTCTTTATGCAAAGTCATAGAACTCTTAGGGAGGAGCATCTTCCCTGTCTCTGGATCAACAGTAGCATCACTTCAGAACTTGCTAAAAACTGAGTTTGAACTCAGATTCATCTGAGAAAAGAAAATCATCAAAAATAGAAGAAAATCACTAAGATACAGATGTTTTTATAGCAATTTTTTTATATTACAGTGCAAGGATTGAGAGGAATTACTGTCACACAAGAGAAACTCTTCTCTAGTGAAAATCAACACTTAAATTAGGATGTCAGAAAAGGTGTGTTACAGCAGACAGACCTCCAGAGCTCTGAAAATTCTAAAACTGCAGTTTTCATTTTCTACTTTTTAATATATCCCTCAGGCCTTCCTGAGATGACTAAGGTACAGGGCTTTTCATTCTTCATTTTCAGTACTTGTAGCCTAAGATATCTGCTAGCAAATAATTCATTATTTCTTTCTCAAATAACTGTTTATAATCTTCTTCATGTGAGTACAAAAGAAACAAACAAAAAAAAATTGAAATTAATTCTTGGACATTCATACACTTTTGAAAATAAAGCACTGCATTAGGCAGACTGTGTTTCAAACAATGCGTTTTTATAACTGGATGCACACTGAGAGATGAGGTGTTGTAACATCTTACAAATCAAACTTCAATTCACACTGTATTACTTGCACAATCTGCACTATATATTTCCTTAAAGTCTTTAACTGAAATTGTTCTGCTGTAGAACAGAAATATGTAACACACGCTGTGTTCTTATTTGGTGAAGCTTCCCTTACTCACAGCTGCATTTCCTTGACAAAAAAAATTTGCTCTTTCTTATAGCCCAAAACAGCCCACAAAGCCAGAGAAGGATATTTTTACAGATTAAGAGACAGGAGTGAATGGAATTGATGGTGAATATTATAATGGTCCTTCATTTCCTTTTGTTATTAAGAACTTTAAAATATTCCAAGACTGACTGAGAAGTTAAATTCCCTGAGGCTTAGAGATGTTAGAAGAGAATCCCCAGGCTGTACCAAGAGTGAGCATAATAAATACATGGTTCCTGTCTTTGGTGTACAATCAGCTGGGAACTGGCACAACTGTGTGGTCAGAAGGAAGGTCCCAAAGCACCAGGAATAACCTATAATAATTCTACAGTGCCACATCTCATCTTCCAGCATAGACACTTGAGTTAAAGAATGGCTTTAAGCTTGCAGTCCTACTGAATAAGAGTGAAACAGTAATAGTTAAATATATGTTGCAAGCTGGATTTGAAAATTAGCAGCACACTTCAACAGAGTTAATGCATTTGAAAACAGCAGGCAGGAAAGGCTTTGAGTAAAAAGGAAGATAAATGCTGCTTCAGCTGTCCATCAAAGCCTGAATTTAAACTTAAATTACACCAGGAAAAAAAAAAAAACAGAAAAAAAAAAAAAAAGTGGAGTATAATCTAAGCAGTCTAAGAAAGGAGGGTCACAGTAAATTACCAAAAAGCACAAAGTGTGACTGATGTCTGCCAAGGGAATAAGTATCCACATCAAGGCTGAGCTCAGATACCCCCATGGCACAAAAGTGAAATCCACTTCACCAGCAGGAAGAGAGGGGTGGCCATTCTCCAGGTACATCTACACTAAAGCTCTAACATTACCCAGGAAATAAAAACCACATTTACTTTAGTGGTAACAGTCAAACTTGCAGTCAAGCAAAATATGGAAGATAAAAGCAAGAAAAGTCATCTCTGAGAACAGACAATCAATTGCACATGTCTGCTCTCCTTTTTGTTTCTCACAGAAGTTTAAACCACAGGATTTCTATGAAATCATATCAGCACAGTGAAACATTATAATGGAGACAGCAAAATACAAATGAAGATGGAGTGCAAGCATATGTACCTCTATTTTTAACTCAGCTGAGCTGTCAGGTCTGCTAGAACTTGAGAATTCCTCTAGCCAGTCACAGTTTCATTTAACACTGGTAATATTTACTAACACAGCAGGTGCTGTAATCTCATTCTGAGCTTACCTGTTCCATACAGGAGCTTGTCCCACAGTAACTGCCATACAAAAGCTACATAAATTTTGCACAAAACCTTTGAAACCAAAAAAAAAATGGAAATTTCAAAGCCTTGCAGAACCTTAGTAAGGTTTGATGGTCTCACTTCCACTTGCCAGTTTGTAACATCTTGCTCCCAATAAGGAGCAATTCCTTTCACATTAAAAGTTAGTGCTTTACTCTTTGAGAAATTACATGCAGTACTTCAGCTTTAGCTCAAAATATAACAAAATATTTTACAAAGCTTATTGGTTATCCATATTACCAACAGCAGCTTTTGCAGGAAATTACATAGGGGTAGATCATATAATAAAAAATGGTTGGGGTTTGGTTATTCAAGACAAATGGTAACAGTTGTCATCTTTCTTGTACATACAGATGATTTTAAAATGGATATTTGTTGATTTTTTTTTTCTATTTCTTAATATCTTAGTTCATTTCTTCTGAGGTAGACATCTTGTAAAAGAATATTTCTAGTCAGCTGTTTACTCAATTTTTTTTTTGTTTACTGGGTACTTATAGTAGAAACAAAATACGATACAACAAAAATTGTTTTGTTTTGGCTTTCTTTTAGTTATTGTAGGAAATCCTAAAAAATTATGACTGCTTTGTTTTGTCTTATTTTAAAGCCAACTTCTTCCATGTTTGTAAAGAAAAAATTTATAAATATACAAAAAAAAAACCCTACTGGGAACACATATGGATGTGTTCAGATGAATAAAACTTGTAAAACCAGGAGTAAAAAACTCACATCCATCTCAAAACTGTCAAATACTTTCACACTGATTCATGATGTGAACACCAGCTTCTGATTATTCACCAGATTTTGTGAACCATACCCTCCAATAAAGATTCACCTATGTAAATGGGAATTCCTCTCCTTTGAACAAATCAATACCTAAAAGGCCCCAAAAACAAGTATGACATTCTTCCAGGAATAAGCACTATCCAAAAGCATAGGTAACAATGGTTGAATGGATTTTTGTTATAGTAAATTATTATCAGAGCCACAAAAAAAGCAGTGAGGACATTATTTTCAATGTTCTGATCAATCCAAGATTTCATTTGCTGAAGTAAGTGGAAATGAAATAATCTGTATCACCTCAGAGAAAGGCCCCTTGGTGTTTTATACAAGTCCACATTACCTTATGAGATCAATAGGCTGAAACTTGTAAAATGCTCCATATCTTGCCCATTCTTCATACAGCAACTAAAGAATGAAAAAAAAAACAATAAAAGCAAAAAAAACCCTGAAAATTAACTTGAAACAAGTTATCCCCTTCTCTTTTCACAAACATCTAAGAGTTAAAAATATTTGCTGCACTCCTGGGGCTGCTAAACCCACCAGTGCCCATGGAAAAGCAGATTCCCCCACAGCTTACAGAGAGCTCAAAGGAAGGACCAGCTTCTACAGAAAATTCTTGCAGCTGGAACAGGAGCAGGGATAAAAGAAAACCTTGCAGGACCTGGGGTAGGTTGACCATGACACGCTCAACTACAAGAGGCAAAGAATTTGGGATGGTCTTGTTTATTCCCTCTTTCATTCTCATGATTTATGTGAGACAACCTCACTGAAGAGGATTGTCCTGGCTGCCATAAGGATATTTTCATATGAATATTTGTTCTTGCCTATTCAAAATCACCCCTTGCTACTATCCCCAAGCATTGCCTACAAAATTTTATCTATTGCCATAAATAATCATACTAATAAATGCATTCACTCTTACAGAAGAAGAAAGTTAAAACTATTACGTTCCTAAAACTCCCCAAAGGCTGCTTTGAAGGCAGCTACAGAATGGAATTTGAAGAGCAAAGAGAAATTCTATCTAAAATAGCATTCCATTTAGGAACAGGTACTTTCTGTACATTTATAGGAATTTTCTAATCTGCTTCTAATAACAGGGATGCTGTTCTAGTAGATGACAACAGTGGATTTCCCAGGTGGGTTACAAAACCCTCATGGATTTTTTTAATGTCAAACATAGAGACAGCAATGAAGGGTTACAAGTTGCCAGTGGGCCAGAAACTTAAAGATTAGTGTTTATACTCATAGTGAGTATATTTTTTATTTTTTTTTTTTAAAGAGAAGAAACCACACTGGAACTGGGAAATTCCATTAGTCTTAGGAAAAACCAAAACCCTATCAGTCTTAGGTTTTCATTGCAGCTTTCTAATTTTTGTAGGATGGAAAAAAAGTGTTGTGTCACTGTGCATTTTTCTCCAAGGAAATCCTGAAGAAGGTTCATAAGGATTAACTTTTTATGTTATAAACTGGTACATAAACCTTAATTACTTGTGCTGCCCTATTGGCTTAAGTACCCCATAAGAACTGAGTTCATATTTAGGGTTTTACAAGAAAAAAACTGAATTCAAAGATACAGATATGTTAAAGTGGGCAAAATAAAAGGGGGCAGGAAAAAAAAGCTTAAAAATGCCCTCCTTTCTTTTAAACCTGATCAGGCTTCTTCAGGAAATTAAACACTGAGACTATTAGATTCAGATAGAAAACAGATGATGTTATGCATAGGAATACTACAGAAGATTCGAGGCCTAGGCAGCAGGGACATATGTGAATAATCAATGAAGTATTTCTGGAAAGAAGCTTTTATGTTTTTAATACTTAACACTTCATAACTGAGCCTAATAAGCAGAATAAAAAGAGGGCAGCACAAGATACAACTAGTAGGGGGAATATTTTTCCAGACACTGGTCCTCTAGGCCCTCTTCTCCCCCATTCCACAGTACCCAATTTTCCTCCTTTCACTAACTTTCATTTAGTTTTTTTCTCTAAAATATTTGTTGTCCAAGTCAGTAATCTGTGGAGCTGCCTCTCAGAGAAAATTCTACAAGTCCAGAGGAGACAATGCCTTCATGAACAAAAAGTTCAAAGTAACAGGCACAAATAAAATAGCTTATTTTATAGTTTGTTTTCTAACTTTATTTTGCTTACCAAGGTTCATACACTAAATTAAATTGTATATGGCACATGAAGACATCTAGTGGCTGAATGGCAACATTATTTACCAAAAACAGCAAAGATTATGTTTTCAAATTTTACTAATTCAACATTGAAGAAATCAGATTTATTTGTATGGCTTCCATTTGTATGAACTCAGTCTTTATAGTATAGTATATATTGGAGGTTTCCAAACATTCCCATTTTCTTCATTCTGCCCTCTTCCCCTTTCTCTCCCTATTTTCCCTCTGCATTTCCTATCCCACTGTTTGCATATGAAGGAAAATAAAATGAACATTAGAGAACAATATGCAAAGGATCTTAATAGATTACTTATTAGTAATCTATAAAACTAAATAGATTATTTAATAGAAATTAAATGGGTTTTTTCCATTTCTAAAAGTAAGCACATATATTAAACACTATTTGAATTCACACTGTTTCTCTTGAGGGTTGATCTATTTTTGAATGTGTATTGATAGCTAGAAACTTTATTTACAAAATAACAAGAAGCAGATTTTTAGAAATTGCATTCAATTTAGTTGAATGCACAATCAAATGAAAAGTACAACAATATTTTATTTTAGTAACCACAGCTCTCTAGGAGCATTTGGTTAGGAAAATAAAATTATTATATGAGTTCTTTAATAATTTTAGCTTCCTGACACATTGAAAATTTGTATATGCATGCAGAGGGAATCTGGAAGCATTTCAAGGTGTAAATTTCAAATTTAATTAACTGACATGCTTCGTAAGAAGACATTATAAAAATCTTGGAAAAACATTTTTAAATGCAGAAATAGAGGAAAATTTGTAATTCAAAAAGCATATGCATTTGTTAAAACATCTACTTGTTTGTACAATGGCTAAGGCTTTACAGAGAGATTTATAACATCATTTATTACATTAAATATAATATTAAATAAATTTTGCAATGTATTTTACCTTTCTTTCATTCATGTCATCATTTTGGCCTTCATATTCACCCTGGAGAAAGAAAATAATTTAATAACTGATGTAAAAGCAGAAAAAACTAAAGAAGAGTTTGGTTACCTGTTCCTACATTGTTAATTTTACTTTTAGTTCGCAACTTGAAATGTAGTTATAGAAGAGTTTTCATATTAGAATCACACTTAGAAGAGATTTTCAGTATCACAGCCAGCAAATGAGAATATCTGTGCATGGATGTCTCCTGAGTGACACCAGCAGAAAACTGGATTTTTTTCATAGTGCATACGTACATCGTGAAGTGGGTAGGCTGCATCATAAACATTGTTTGCTATTAACGTGCCAATGCCTAAAAGAACAAGAAAAATTCAGGTGGTCAACAGGCACAATTGAACAGAATACATTATTACAAATTTCCTTTCATGACATTCCAGAGGGGACAGAGCTGTGTAGCTGGTATTATTCAGAATGGGAATAGAGCCACACAGGAGTTCCTGGCTGTGGAAAACTTCTTTTTTCAGAGAACCTCACTTCCACAAAGTGTTTTTTCTTCAGTGAACAGCACAGTGCAAAGACTCTTCTGACCATTTTCTAACCCTGATAGTAAAGAGCCACGTGACTGTGGAGTAAATCATCCAGAAGTCCTTCTTGAACATTTACAGTGGTCAGAACTACAGATCCCACTGGCCAACAATTAGAAACATCCCCCACAAAAACTCCTACAGAAGTTTGTGGTCATGAAATCATAGAATGGATTGGGTTGGCAGGACCTTAAAGATCAGCCAGTCCCTCCCCCCCAGGCACACCTTCCACTATCCCAGGTTGCTTAAATGCCCTGGGCATTTCCTGGGAGTTCAGTTTTGCAAGGGAATTCCCAGCAGTGACTGCAGCACCTGTAGGTTGACACAAGAATCCTACTGGCTCTCAAGAGCTGCAACTCTTACAGCAATTCCATCTTCATTCTCTAGAGGTGAAAACAATTGTTCCATAAAAAGGCAACCAAAGATGAGTAATTTCTAATTATTAGTTATATAAATATAGATATATAAATTTACTCCAGGCCTCTCTGCTTTCAATGCCCAGAAAAAAAAATAACCAGCTATCATGTCTTTACTGATGAAAAATATTCCATAGTCAAATTACACATTGTCCTGAAATATTTGGGAGAAACCTCCTAGTCAGAGATGCTGGACAGGCAGGACCAATAAATGTCTCCCTTGATAGAAGGACATGTACAACTACATGCATTCATAGAATCAGGAAATTATGCTTGGATACTGTCAAGCCTGCTCCTGAAAACATCCAGTGTTTGGAAGTTTACAGTGGGTCAGAGTTATGGTAGAAGAAAATAAGAATTCCTTGTATAATATCACAGGAGCAGAACCAGGTTACACAGATGTAAAAAAATCCATAAGCAAATGTGTTTGAAGTGTTGTTACTTTGATAAAACAGGTCTATAAAACCAAAGACTGCTATAAGCACTTCCATCATCACTGTCCAGCCTCTTGTGCAAAATAAGCAATGAGCTCTAATAACAAAAGAAAAAAAAATTTTAAATCTTTTAAACCTCTCTTGATGAGTGGTTTTAAGCTTAAGACCAGTGAGATGGGAAGGCTTTAGTGACATATGAAACAGAGGTCTCTTGGGGGAGGGTCTCAGATGATCAAAGGAATAAATGAATTTAGGTCAAACATGATGCACAATCCTGTTTTGGCTACAGACCAGAAAAATGGAAAGGATGGAAATGTTAAAATAGTTATTCCATGTCAAATGAGTTCTTGAGCTGACCTGAGCTTGAAGTGCATCAGGCTGTATTTTCATGCTAGAGTTAAAAAATTCCTGAGAAGCTATTACTAGTCCTTTGATCTCTAATGATGGCTTTTATTCCACTATAAACCAGAATAAGCTATTAAAATAAAGAAAACTTTAAGTAAGAAGCAAAATATCTCCATTGGCAAAGTGCTCTGTACCTTCCTACTCTGTCCTTGAGCTTCTCTCCAGTTTTCTCTGCAGCAAATTCCAGGGTCTCCAGGAGGGTTCCCAGCCCTCCAGAAAAATAAGGCAGCATTCCCCTCTATTGCCCCACTGGAGACTTTTGAGCAGATCAAAACATAGAACAGCACCAAGAAAACAGTTTTTAAAAAGCAGAAACTGCCAAACAATGTTTTAGAAATTGAGAATGCCTGACATTTTTAAAACCATATTTTCTTTTTTCTTTTTTTTAAGGAAACAGTGTGGCAGTCATAAATTTGAAAGTTTATACTGGAAAAAGGCAAGTGGTTTTGGTTGAAAAAGAAAAAGCATTTGGTGTGGCCTTCATTTTGTTATGCTATTCATGTAATTTCAAAGAAAAAAAAAATTCTATCTCCTGTTCAAGGAAACCAAAATTAATCTATTTTCCTGTACCAAAAACACATGTTATTGGAGCTTCCCTGCCCAATATCATACCAGGATTCTGCAGAATCTTGCTGCAGCACATTATTTGACAGGAATGTTACCCTTGGACACTGTGATCTGTCCATAGGTGGTTGAACTTCCAGAAAGATTTCCAGAAAATATGTCAGGGAACACCATCACTTCTTTTCCATATGTGCCATGATCTCACATGGTGAGAGAAAAGGAGTAGAAAAAAGAGTATATAGAAAAGAGTAAAGAGAATAGGTACACCTGTATACATGCTGAACCTCAAGAAAATTAAATAAATTCTGAACCTCCAGCTCCAAGTATTTCAGCATTATCCCAAAAGTACCTTCAAAACAGTCATATTTAAATCATATATTTCACTAGGCAGTTCAGGGAGGTAATTTTTAAAGCTGAAGCAATAAAAATAATCTGGGAAGGTGAATTATTCAATTGAAATGGCAAGAAAAATATGGTCCCCCAAGAAATAATACAACATCAGTTGACATCTGAATTTTCCAAAGCAGATCATACAGGAATCAAATCCAATTTTATAACAATTCATGAAATGTGAGTTATGTGCCAGATGCTGCACCTGTAGAAATGAAAAGCCAGCTCCCATTACCATCCAAACTATGGACTAGAAATTATGATTTTATGCCTCAGAAAAAAAACATTTCGTTCAACCTCTAATTTTTTTTTTTTTTTTTTCTTTTGGGAAGATGTGCCAGCATATTATGTGTCCTGCCAGAAAAATCAATATTCTGTGAGATACCTAAAAAATTCCTTTCAAAAAAATATCTCTAATTCTCTTTCCTCCACCTTACCCATGCTGTTTCTGGCCTTTGTAGAGGTGCGCTTCAAAATTTCCCTCACCTGCAAATAAGAACAGTGGGATAACACACAGATCCTTTTTTTAGCATGAATTTCATCATGGAATTAGCAATAAAATAAAGTTCTAAAATAGATGGCTTCTGCAGCATTCATTTGCACAAATACTTCAATCATTTAGCAGATTTTATTAATGGATTATCTGCCCTAACATTTGTGGGCTAAAGCCTGCTGTGTTTTGTCCTTATGGAAGTATTTGAAGTGTAAGAACTATATGGCAGGAAATCTAGTTAAAGATTAGGAGCAGAGCTGAAAAGAGCTTTGGACACTGAAGAGGAATCAATGGCTTCCCTGCAGAGCATTTCCCACTCCTGAACCACCGTGCAGCTCCAGAAAGGAATTCCTTACACACATATATGTCAGGAATTAGTGTTCTGCAAGAACACACAAATGCATAAATTAATGGTATTAGCAAAGTTGAAATTAAAGCACTCCCTGTAAATCCCATTTTAAACCCCACTAGCAAATCCCACTCGGCAGAAAAAGACAAGGATATGTTATTTTTATTAACTTACTATTCGGCTGCGGGTTGCATTGTCAAAAAAGGTGTCTCTGTCTTTGATGTTATACCTAAAATATTGAGGAAAAAGAAAGTCAGCTCTGTTTTAAGACACGGAAGCAACACGTAAGACAACATATAAAATTCTAATTTAGAAGTCACTCAGAAACCACAGCTAATGAGAAAAGCAGATGTTTAAAGGAATATTGATTATATAGTACAGCATAACAGAATGTGCTGTGTAAGACCCAGTCATTCAGAGCTCTACCAGGATTTCACTGATGGTGGGCATAAAAATGCAAAATTATTAGCTAATATAAAATGCCTTTTGGGCAAGGAGAACCTCTCTATTGTTTACAGAAGAGGACGTTTTCAAATTTTTCTTATAACATCCCCTCAACACAGTAACACACTGAGGTTGTGTTAGTAGGTTTCAACCTGCCTGATGCAGATGTTCATTACTCTTTTCCTGGCCACTAAACAGTCAGCATTTCACTTGATTTCAAATAACCATTCCACCAGAATTATGCCTTCCCTTAAACCTCCAAATCATCATAAATGAAATTAGCTTCCCAGTTTATTCTCCTCCATCAATTTGACTCATATTCAGAATTCATTAAAATTGTCAGAGGGCAATAAATGAAATGGTGGGTCACTGTATTTATTACTGAATTTTATTTATTGGACATAAATACAAGGAGACACCCAAGAGGAAAAAAGAGTGTTTCATGTCAAACTGGGCCCAGAAATATTATTCTGAGTGAAAGAGCAGGTGTCAAGAATTCCTTATCTGCATATTATTAGCTGAGTTTTAATTGTTACAATAAATCTATCAAGATGGAAAATACTGCTATATTTCTACTAGCTCTTGCTTTTTTTCTAAACAGGCAGTAATATCCTTAACCAAATAATCAGGAATTTGGTGGGGGGATTTCTACATTTCAAGCTAAATATACAGAAATGTATTTGATGCACTGCCTTCCAGTGCCTTATCCTACAGAAGTAAGAGGAACATCAGCAGAAAGTCTCTGCAGCTTGTATTTCTATTAATCCACTGAAAAACTGGTAATTTTGGATGTTCCCTCAGAATTTCCAGACATGCTTGATGAACTTCTGAATTTTGACTGAAAAGTGGGAAAAAGAAATTACAACTCTAAAATTATACATTCCAGCTTTCTTTGCTGTCCATCACATTTTAAAATACTCACAAATATATTTTCTCTCTGGAAAATGGATAGGACAAGGTTTTCATCTTGGTATCTTCTTGCTGTGGCACCTGTGGTTGCAGAGGTTCAGTCAATTTGCACCATATTTCATTTAACGTTTTGAGTATTCCCTTTTCTTCTGTGATTTCATACATCTGAGGAAATAAAACTGTACATTAGTATGTCCCTTTCAAAATTACACTAAAATAAAGGGGAAAAAATAATTTGCTGTATACATATGTTTAAACCTGTAATTAAAGTAATTGTCTTCTCTAAAGACATATTCCCATATAACCGAATAAGCACCTGAATCCGTATGTGTTGAAGTTCCAAAAAGTTCTTGTCTCTCACAAGCTAATTCTAGAAAAAAAAAACAACAAAACCTCAGTGGAGAATATAAAATATTTCTTCAGAATATTATATTCTGAAAAAAAAAGAAAACCAGTTCTTCACCCAGAGCTCCAGGTACCTGCTCATCTCACAGTTAAACCACCTGTCCAGAAGGATACTATTGAAATATAGTAATATTAAAAACTTTACTAAAATCCAGGAAAAAAACAGTTATATCTACTGCCTTCCTCTCATCCACTAGGCAGGGAACCTTATAATAGAAGGATATAAAAGGTCCTTTGGGACTTGATTGAACTTGAAGTACTCTGGCATCAATTCACAGGGCCCCATGGGCTTCTGGACATCCAGTGGATACTGATACTCCCTTAAAAATTCAGTGGCCACAAGTGGAAAGCCACAAACTGTTCCCACAGCTGCAGTCCTCTGCCTCAGGACCAGGCAGTCCAAGATAATTAATATTAAAGGCTGAGGCAAAAAAAAAAAAAAAACAAGCATTGAAGAAATCATTTTTCCATCATCCCTGTTTGTCAGGTGACCATTTCCAACAAGGATTAGTCCAATATTTTCCTCACACCTTCTCTTGTTATTAACATACTGTAAAAAGTCTTTTAATTGTGTGGCACAACACTGGCCAGTTTGAACTCTAGATGAGTTTTGGCCTTTTGTGTTTTCTCCCTGAATATGTGAACCACAGCTTTGCAAACTTCCTGTGAGGCCTGGTCTTGCTGCTAGAGATGGAAAATTGTTTTTCTGTCTCAATCTCCATGAGGAATTCCCTCTTCAACCAAGCACCCATGGAGCACTCCAAAGCAGATTCCTAGGGAGCAGTGCTGAGCAGCTCCCTGAGTGGTTTTGAGTTTACTCTCTTGGAACCTAGAGCAACAATTCTGCTGACCCTTTTTGTTCTCATTAGACTGGATATTTTAAATTAAACCATTTTATAATTGCTGTAGCTAAGACAGCCTCCTACTATCAAATATCCCACGTGTCCTTCTCTCTTCACAAGTATCCAGTCTGGGAGGGCATCTTTCCTAACTGGCTCACTGAATCCTTGTGGCAAAGTATTATCTTCAACACCCTTCAGGAATTTCTCAGACTTGCTTGTCACAACAGTGCAGCATTCCCAATTAATGTTTGGGAAGTGGTCATTTCCCACAAGCACAAGAAATTTCTCCTGCTTGCCTATAGAATGATTCATCAGTTCTACAGAACACTCAATGACATCTGCCTTGTTTTCCATCCTTCTAATCCTCACCCAGAAGATGTCAGCCTTATAGTCCCTTAACTGCAGCTATTCCATACAGGAATTCTGCCCTTCCATACTCCTCCACCTCTCCATCTCTGCCTCCTGAACAGCTTTTCCTTCCCTATCCTAGCACCACAGTCACAGGATTCAATCCCCAAAACTCACTAAAGCCAGAGACATCACAGCTCTGGCCACAGAGCAGCCCTCCCAGTTGTTCCTATTTGTTTCCCATATTTCCACATGGGAAAATATTCCCATATTTTTCCCATGTTTGAGCCTGGCCCAGTCTCACCCACCAAAACAGCTCTGTTATCATATCCAGAAGTTTGTACATAGTTAAAAGGGCCCAGAGGATATCTTTCCCCAGCATGTCTTATATTCTGAAAGAGTATTTAAAACTGAATGTTTGAGGAAAGAAGTATTTGTAACCAATTCATGTTTAGAGGTAGATTAATACTTTCCCCTGAAAATTACTTCTATTTAATGGTTTCATATGATCCTTGAATAAATAAAAAAAGCATCACAGAAAATACCTAAGGTGCCTTAAGAACATTATTTTGTATCATTGAACAAAAACAGAACTTTCCTTTTAGTGGTTACTGGATGATTTTTTTATTTTATATTGCCAAATTCCCAAAATGCAAGATTTCAGTTTTTTCCAAGTGGATTTTTTTTTTTCTTTCAAAGGAAATTCTTCTTTCAACTGTTTCTAATTTCAAAAAAAGCCCTAAACCCTAGGATATTAATAGAGCTTCCCTGTCAAGCTTGTTTCTGGTAATGCTGCCATTTCTACATCTAGAGATAACAGAGGATTTTTTTTCTCCCTATCAGAGGAGAGAGTGGGAATGCAGAACTGTTGTGAATGAGGAGGGTGCCATCAGAGATTATCAGCTCCTGCACAGACCTTAACCCAGGCCAAAATGATGGCAATACTCATCAATTAAAATAGTGTAAAATTTACTTTGGTGCATCTGCAAAAAACTTGGAGGAGAAAATTCCCACGAGAGCAGAAGGAGGGAGAAATAAGCAGGCACTAAAAATGCATAAAAGGAATTAATTTTGGAAGAGATCAAAGAGAGGAGTTGAATATGTAGAAAGTTTCTAGGGGTACTGTAGCTGTCTAAAACCTCCTCCTTTTCAAATATTGATTAGAAATATCCTTTTTCCCCCTGGGATGTAAACACATTGAGAGTATGCAAGATTGATTTGGCCAGTCTTCTGATAATGAAAGGTGATAATGAAAGCATGAAATGTGAACCAGAATGAAGATTTTGGTGGGTGAAAACAAGATGAAAAACTCAAAGATCAAACAACGTAGTCTGGGAAAACAAAATCAATTTTTCCTTTATTTCTAATGACAATGCAAAGAAATAAAATGTTCTTTAGTGCAGTTGATGAGTATCACTAACTAAAAGCACAAGGCAGTTCCCTGGCTCCAGTGGAGTTGTTAACCAATGGACTAAATAATTTCAGAAACACAGATTGGGGGATTTTCTACTCGGAATTTACAAGGTTTGCCAGCAACTCTGCTGAAAAAAGACAGAAGAGAGTGAGCTGAAGTTTTAGTGACAAACAGGCAGGTCTGAATTCACTAAGTCATTGATACCATCAAAACAGATTCTCTGGGGAGAGCCTCTCAGAGTCTTAAGACAGTGACCAGTTTCATACTATCTTTAACATTACCCCTCACCTTTGAGAGAATTTCCTTGACAAAAATCCAGACAGCTCCTGCCCTCTTAGCTTTAAAAGCCCTCCTTAACACTCACCTCTGTCATCACCCTCCTGAATGCAGCCCATCAGCCAGCTGCCTCTGTGGCCTCTAAAAACCCCTTTGGAAATCCCATCTTAAATACATAAATCTTAGCTCTGAACAGTAAACAATCTCAAAAGATTTGGAAATGTGAAGAATAAGTCTGACAGTTCATTTTCTCTATTTTTGAAACAAAGTAACTCCATGGGCTTCTATATATTTAATGATGATTCTGATCCCTGCTCCTCCAATCATAAAACATATTGATAAAAAATGAGAGATATTTACCTTTTTAGTGGGCATTTTTATTTTAAGGAGTTCTGCTTCTCGACTGAGGACTTGCCAAGGTGCGTGTATACGGACAAAACTCAGTCCTTGGCTCTTGTTCTGAAACATAAAAAAAGGGGAAACAATGTATTTAAATATTCTTGAACACAATGTACTGCTAATATCTCAAGTTGTCAGCTCCAACTAAATCATTCATCAGTAGGCAACAATCACAGGGAATAACCAACTTCTGCTACAACGAAGTGATATTTTCCTTAAAGCTGAATATTTTATGCTCTAAAATCCATTAACCTACTGCCTGCAGTGCAGCTGTGTGTGCACCAGAATGACAGAAAGCTACAGGTCCAGATTTTGGAATTATGTAAATGAGAAACACCCAAGATCTGCTTTTTTTGTACATTGATATTTTAGAAGGGATCTGATTTCTTTAGTGGGCTTTTGTGTCCATCTGAACCAACAAGATAAAAAGAATTTCTCTTGCTCTGCTTGGGCTTTGCTTTAGTTCTCATTTTCAGTTTTGCCCAACTATTTTCCAGACACTTCATCAGATTAGTGGTTCCTTACAGGGAATCAGGCCCAACATTTGTTGCCCTAAATATTTGCAGTTGGAATAGCAAACCTAAAGAAACCATAAAAATGTAACTTCTGAACAAAGATATGAGCCTCATGTTTATGTAAATGATTGGTTATGCTGGTCAGAAGCATAAAATGCCCAAAAGGGCTTCGGCACAGCCAGATTTTGCAAGCCATGCAAAAAATGTCCTGGTAGCACATCTGAGCTACAGACAGAAATCCTGAGAGCAGAAAGCAGCAAAAAACATGAAAATTAAACAAAAACATGAAAATTAAATGAAGACAGTGTTTTCCTCAAGGCACACAAAGAAACTGTACCAGTAAATCACAGGGATAAATGCTTGCTGTGGAAATTTGGGAAGAAAAGTTAGCAGGGAGATTAGAAACTGAGTATCAGAAAAATCACAGCAATGACCAGCTGCCACACTATCTCCCATACTGCACCTCCTTTTGAGGGGACTTCCTTGACAAAAATCCAAACATCTCCTGCCTTCTCCGATTTCAAAGCCCTCCTGAAAACTCTTCTCTGCCATCATCCTCCTGAACACAGACTGTCAGATAATATCCTTTAGGGAAAGACATGGAAGTGGATACAAGAAGACCTTCAGGAGGAATTTCTTCACTGAAAGGGTGTTCAGGCTTTGGAAGGGGCTGCCCAGGGAGGTGTCCAAGGAATGACTGGATGTGGCAGTGCTCTGGGCTGGATGACAAAGTGGTGACTGGTCAAAGGTTGAATGCAAAGATCTTAGGAGGTCTTGTTGGAATCTGAGGTATTGATGATTCTGAGACTGTAGAGAGTCTCTGTCTTTCAGCCTCGCTGCCAAAGCAGAAACCATAATTGGTCTGTGCTGTTTCAAGGTTGTTTATTCTGTTTATCTCCAACATGTTCTGCTGCCCTGCCCAGCTCTGTCCTGCAGGGCAGCGTGTGGGGCTCTGCCCTCAGTGGGATGTTACAAACATTAAATACCAGAAACTCCCTGGGCTGGATTTACAAGAACGTGCCAATATCTGTCACCTACGTTGGACAGTGTGTCCCCAGCCTGAACCAACAGAAAAATGCCAACACCACAGTGAGACATGGAGGGCATGAAGAAGGAGAAAAAGGACAAGACACACCCAATTTCCTCCATCTTATCCCCTTTGGACCCCTCATCTAGAATCCTAAAATTTTACTTTTGCACCCGTGCCTCACTTAATTATTACTTATATCAAACACTCAGAGCTGGTAATTCATCCTGTAAGATTGAAAACTCTTTTCCATGGCCAGAGATCACAGACAGTGTCTCTGGGGGCTCTGTCCAGGGGGGTTCCTGACCCCTGCCAGGGTCCCAGACCTGCCAGGGCAGCCAGAGGGAAGCTCTGGATTCCCACAGCATCCATGATCCTGTTATTCAAAAGCTTCATTAAGGCCAAGATTAATGATCAAAAATCAAAAATAAAAAGTCAGATGGAAATCCTACTATTAGTTCAGTCATTTTGGCCTTTTTTCCCCTATAGGTGCAACATGAATGATAAAAATCACTCCCTCACCTTCAGCTAACATTTCTTCAGTGGACCAATACTATTTTAAAGAGCAGAATGAGCTTCAGAATCTCTCTTCCATCAGTCCACTGGGGAAGTCAACTTTAAGAGAAGGAAGGAAAAATTTACTGGGCAAGAGCAGATGTTCTGGTAATCATTTGCTGAAAATAGATTAATAACAGATGAGAGGTTAAATTTCAGTGGGTGAAGATCAGGATTTTCTTCTAAGATTTTGGCTAAAATCAAGCACGTGTCCCTGTCTGGGGGATTATATTCCATGTTGGCAAGAAGAAGGACAGTGTGATCTAATTGGTTGCTTCCACCTCAGGCTCATATGACTACACAGATTGCAAATAAAATTAGGCAAATAATTTGATTGAAAAGACCAGATGAAGAATATGACCCTTGTATATTTGAAAAAAGTAATTTGGAAAGTTGTGCTGTTCATGAAGTGATATCAGATGATGAGCAATCAGACCATTAAAAATCTTTAAAAAGCTTAAAAATCACCCCATGATGGAAAATTAGGGTAATTTTAATAAACATTAATGCAAAGTAAATAAAGTAGGGAAAACAGGACTAGGCGGCTTCTGCTGCATGGTAACCAAAAGATACAGAACAATGGGATGATGGATGTTCACCTTGGGATTCCTAGAACCACATCTCCCAGATCTTACTAATCTTCAAATTAATCAAAGAATTTTAAAATAAATTTGAAATCATCAATTTAATATCACAGCTCAAGAGATAAGCCATCTAGCTCATTTTCTATGAGCTCACCAAAATGAAAACCTATAGGACTACTCCTTTGGTAAGATTCCTTTCCCCACTTTTCCAGGCTTCACCTGCAGCAGTTCCAGGTGTCTTGAAATGCCCTTTTTTTCCTTATGATATCTGGCAAGGATCTGCTTAATTAGCTTCTTCCCAGCTGGCTTCCTGTATTGCAAAATCTCCAAAAGTTAGAAGTTGCTTTTCTCCTTGCCAGAGTGGATTTATAAATGTTTACTGGAGACACCCCCTAACTGCTGTCCTCTGGTTAATCACCTGAAATGATAACTGTGCACATGCTCATCACTTTGATCTAATGAAATGCTGTCAGTCTTCTATTTAGAATGCTCAGAATCACTCCTGCTCATTCATTGTACTCTGGATATATCACTAAAGGCAATATGTAGTGCTGGCAAACACTGGTTTTGTTAGACCATTCACTTGTTATTTCATACAGCCATCCTTAATCGAGTCCTTTTTCACTTGCAGCTGATGTCCCACAGGACTTGATCCTTGGCCCTGCACTGTTCCATGTCTCTATCACTGCACTCTCTGATTATATTATTTAAATTATGAAGGATTCCCAAGCAGATGACAAACAGATTTGTCGCTTCAATGATGCCTTTTTTTTCCCCTGTCAAATCTATATTCCATATTACAGACTTCTTCCAATAAGTTTCAAGAGTAGAAGTTTTTCAATAAATTCATTAAGAATTATTCAAGATATAAACATATCTTGGCTGCGTCTCTGTTTTCTGAAGTTGAATTTGGTTTTCCCATTCCAGTCAGAAAGCTCAGCATTAAAGTCAAATGGAAGAAAATCTGGAAGGCCTGCTTTGCTTTTCAGTGAGCACAGGAAGAAAAATGTATTGGGTATTTCTTTCAGTTTATCATTATTCTTAGCAGTCTAAAGCAGGGCTTTAACAGCAGTCTATATTGTATTTTTTTCTGTCTTGGACTGGAAACATACAGGCTGAATAAAATTCAAATTTCTCCAAAGGAGAATTTTTCTACCTTTCCTGCCTTAACAGTAAAACACTTGAGGACCTGAATCAGCTGCAAGTCTAAGATTCATTTCAAACTTATCACCATCAAGGCCACAACAGAAAAAAACATGTATGATAACTACAGAAGTTCTCATATAGATATATATGAAGTAATTATTCTTTTTATTGGAAGCTGAACATTCTGAAACATGGCTAGACAAGCATAACTAAGCAAAACTAAATTTATTTGGGCACCTCTAACATGAGCTAAATCATACAGTACTAAAGGCATCAGGTTTGTCAGTCACTATCAAGCCAAGAAAGGACAAAATCAATGATTTTATTTTGGAAGAGCCCCACCCTATTTTTTTCTTTTTTTATGGTGAGCACACTGTTCCTTGGAACTTTGCAAATATAGAATTCATTGCTGAATGCTACAGCTTAGTATGTATTTATCATCATTTCCTCATCATGAAATCACTAATCACTCCACATTTAAGGAATAGAGTTTATAAATAACTTACATATTAAATAAATAGCTATTTTTAAATACTAGTCCACAGGAAAAAAAAAATCTTCTGTGTATCTTAACAGGAAGAAAAAATAACACCAAAGGGTAGAAAGAAGCTGAAAATAAGTTATTAACTAATGTTTAAGGGAGTCCAGGCAACTGCCAATCTTTCTAATGTTTTTTTTTTTAAATGTGCATAGGAAATGGAAAATGCATAAATCACAAAACCTGAAGGATGTAAACTTCTTAGAAAAAAAAAAAAAAAAAAAAAAAAAAAAAAAAAAAAAAAAAAAAAAAAAAAAAACAAATAACTGAATTTTAACATTTTATCCTTCAGTAATTATTAAATGGACAGAAAAATACTTGGGAGCAATATTTTAATGGCTCCAGTCAATATAATGAGACAACACTGGGAAAGCAACAGTGAAACAGTTTGCAATGAGGAAAAGACAGATCCTATTATCTCAGTAAAAGTAATCATCTTCCCATTAATTCCATCACCAAATGGATCCATCATATCTGCAAAAGCAATTGTTCAAAATTAATGTCTGCTCTCCTGATACCAGCCCTGGAAATCGAGGCAAATACCAGGGTGATGTGATAGGGCAAATAAAAAGCAATTTCTTGTTATTATCTCAGAACTGTGGTCACCTTCATTACACAAAAGCAGAGCCAAGTGCTAAGCTGTCAGCCCCAGCATGGATTGCATGACACAGCACAGCCAGATTCAGGCAGACACT